GTCTGCTATGGAAGTCAGGAAGTCCAAGGTTGAGGAGGTGCATCTGGTGAGGGCCTTCTTTTTTTCTTTTTTTTTTTTTTTGAGACGAGGTCTCACTCTGTCACCCAGGCTGGGGTGCAGTGGCGCAATCTCGACTCACTGCAACCTCCACCTCCTGGGTTCAAGTGATTCTCCTGCCTCAGCCTCCCGAGCAGCTGGGACTACAGGTGCACACCACCACGCCTGGCTAATTTTTGTATTTTTTTTTTTCCAGAGAGACAGGGTTTCACCATATTGGCCAATGTCTTGAACTCCTGACCTCGTGATCCACCCATCTCAGCCTCCCAAAGTGCTGGGATTACAGGAGTGAGCCACTGCACCTGGCCCTGGTGAGGGCCTTCTTGCTCGTAGGGACTCAGTGGAATCCTAAGGCAGTGCAGGGTATCAATGGCAAGAGGACTGAGCATGCTAGCTCAGGTCTCTTCCTCTCCTTATAAAGCCACCAATTCCCCTCCCATGATAACCCATTAATCCATTAACCCATTAATGTATTAATCCATAAACGGATTAATTCATTCATGAGAGCAGAGCCCTCATGATCAAATTAGCTCTTAAAGGCCCAACCTCTCAACACTGTTGCATTGGGGATTAAGTTTCAACATGAGTTTTGGAGCAGTCAAACCACAACACATGCTATTACTGAGAATATGATGTTCAGCCTCACCCCAGCCTCATTTGCTACCAAATGACATAATCAAAACCAATTAATGTTCATTCCCATTTGTTGTTGTGGTTTTTGTTGTTCTTGTTGTTGAGACAGAGTCTTGCTCTATCGCCCAGGCTGGAGTGCAGGGGCACCATCTTGGTTCACTGCAATCTCCATCTTCCGGGTTCAAGCAATTCTCCTGCCTCAGCCTCCTGAGTAACTGGGATTACAGGTGTGCACCACCACGCCCAGCTAATTTTTGTATTTTTAGTAGAGACGGGGTTTCACCATGTTGGCCATGCTGGTCTTGAACTCCAGATCCCAAGCAATCCACCCGCCTCAGCCTCCCAAAGTGCTGAGATTACGGGTGTGAGTCACCGTGCCTGGCCCCCATTTCTTTTTAAACAAAAATATTATTGAGCTCTTACCAGGCTCTGAACTGAGCTCTGAAATAAAATGGTAAACAAAAACAGCCATGGTTCCTGCCCACACAGAACTTAGTATCTGTTGGGGAAACAGATATATTGATTTAAAAAATCACACAAGTGTGACTCCGTAATTGAGACAGTGGCATTTTATAAGACTATAATTGCAGAATTTAACCTAGTCAGGGAAGGCATCCTGAAGAAGTGAATTTTGAGCTGAAATCTGAAAGGCAAGTAAGCATTAACCAGATGCAGAGGCAGAAGGAACAACATGGGCGAACATCTGTGGCAGAAGGTCCTGAAAACAGCCCAGCAAAGCTGCAGAAGAGACAGACCCCCGAGGAGGACACAACTGAAATGAAGTAGGACAATCACAGTAGAGACCAAACCACGTAGGGAGGGCCTGGTAGAACGTCAGCAAGGCTCTAATTTACAATGACAAAGTTCTTTTAAATGACAAGGCAAACAAAATAATGGTGCTTCAGGACTTTATTCATGGCATTAATAACTTTCCAGTTTAAATTAGTAGTTGGAGTGATTTTTATTTCTTTCATTTTGTATGTTTTCTTATTGTTTACATTGCTTCTGATAAGTGTTTATCATTTTTCACAAAACCACTTTTTTCTTTTCTTTCTTTTTTTTTTTTTTTTTTTTTTTTTTTTTGAGATGGAGTCTTGCTCTGACACCAGGCTGGAATGCAGGGGCGCAGTCTCAGCTCACTGAAACCTCCGCCTCCCGGGTTCAACCAATTCTCCTGCCTCAGCCTCCGTCTTAGTTGGGACTACAGGTGTCCACCACCACACCTGGCTAATTTTTGTATTTTTAGTAGAGAGGGTTTCACCATGTTGGCCAGGATGGTCTTGATCTCCTAACCTTGTGATCTGCCCGCCTCGGCCTCCCAAAGTGTTGAGATTACAGGAGTGAGCCACCATGCCTGGCCCAAAACACTTTTTTCTAAGTCAACTTCATTGAGATATTATTTATCTACAATAAAATGCACCAGTTTTAAGTGTACATCTCTATGAGTTTTGTAACTACTACCACAATCAAGATGAAGAATATTTGTATCACCCCAGGCAAACTTCTTTCTCAGTCAGTACTCACATCCCAGCCCCAGGCAACAACTGACCTGCTTTCTGACACTACATGTTGGCCTTTTTTGAGTTTCACGTAAAGGAGATAATACACTATGTACTCTCCTGACTGGCTTTTTTCACTCAATATGTTTTTGAGATTTATCTATTCTGTTGCATGTACCAGTAGTTCATTCCTTTTTATTGGTGAGTGACATTCTGTCTTATGGATATTCCAAAATGTGCTTATTTACTCCCCTGTTGATGAACATTTGGGTTCCAGTTTGGGCTATTATCAATAAAGCTATGAATAATATCAGTATATGTTTTTATTTCTTTGGGGTAAATATCTAGGAGAGGAATTTCTGGGTCCTACAGTAAGGTATGTTTAACTTTATAAGAAATTTCCAAGCTGTTTTCCAAAGTAGTAGTGCAATTTTACATTATCATCAGTAGTGTGTAAGACTTCCAGTTGCTCCACATTTTCCCAAAAGCTTGGCATTGTCTATGTTTTTCATTTTAGCTGTTCTGGAGAATGTGTAGTGGTCTCTTGCTGTGGTTTTAAATGCATTTCTCTGATAACTAATGGTGCTGAACATCTTTTCCATGTCTACTGGCCATTTGTGTATCTGCTTTTGTGAAGTGCCTGTTCAAATCTTTTACCCGTGCTTAGTATTAGGTTGATGATGGTCTTGTTACAGAATTGTAAGAGTGTCACATATCACAAGTCCTTTATCAGATATTAGCGTAGTACAGATTGTCTTCCATTATGTGGTGTGCCTTTTTGAGAGCTTTTTTGTAATAGCTTTATTGAAGTCTAATTCAAATACCTTCTGTTTGAGTTCTTGAAGTATCTTTTTAAGAGTAAAAATTAAACATTTTTTAATTTTCAAATTATCAATATTTTCTTTTCTGGCTCAAGCTTTGTGTGTTCTGCCTAAGAAGTCTGCCTACACCAAAGTTGTAAAGATTTTCTCTTACATTTTCTTCTAGACGTTGTATAGTTTTCACATAAATTTAGGTCTGTGATCTGTTTTCATTTAATTTTTCTGTGCCACGTGAAGAGTTGAGGTTTATAAAAACCGTTTTTGTTTGTTTGTTTTTTGAGATGGAGTTTCGCTTTTGCCACCCAGCTTGGAGTGCAATGGTGCAATCTCGGCTCACTGCAGCCTCTGCCTCCCAGATTCAAGCGATTCTCGTGCCTCGGCCTCCAGAGTAGCTGGGATTACAGGTGTCCCCAAGCACGGCACGGTTAATTTTTGTATTTTTAGTAGAGACGGGGTTTCACCATGTTGGCCAGGCTGGTCTCGAACTCCTGAACTCAGGTGATCCACCCACCTCGGCCTCCCAAAGTGCTGGGATTACAGGCGTGAGAAGTGCTGGCATTACAGGCCTGAGCCACCACGCCGGCCATAAAAACCTTTTTTAAAATTAAATTAATAAAACACACAGCAAGGCACAGTTTAAAAGACCGGGTCACAGACCAAATCAGAAATAGTCACTGATTTCCCAGTGTCACATTGCTAAAGAAGTAACTGCAGGCCGGGCGCGGTGGCTCAAGCCTGTAATCCCAGCACTTTGGGAGGCCGAGACGGGCGGATCACGAGGTCAGGAGATCGAGACCATCCTGGCTAACACAGTGAAACCCCGTCTCTACTAAAAATACAAAAACTTAGCCGGGCGAGGTGGCAGGCGCCTGTAGTCCCAGCTACTCGGGAGGCTGAGGCAGGAGAATGGCGTAAACCCGGGAGGCGGAACTTGCAGTGAGCTGAGATCCGGCCACTGCACTCCAGCCTGGGTGACAGAGCGAGACTCCGTCTCAAAAAAAAAAAAAAAAGAAGTAACTGCAGTGGGGCCGGGCACAGCGGCTCACACCTGTAGTCCCAGCACTTTGGGAGGCCAAAGTGGGCAGATCACGAAGTCAAGAGATCAAGACCATCCTGGCTAACACGGTGAAACCCCGTCTCTACTAAAAATACAAAAAATTAGCCAGGCTTGGTGGCAGGTGCCTGTAGTCCCAGTTACTCGGGAGGCTGAAACAGGAGAATGGCTAGAACCCGGAGGCGGAGCTTGCAGTGAGCCGAGATGGGACCACTGCACTCCAGCCTGGGCAACAGATCGAGACTCACCTCGAAGAAGAAAACAAAAAAAAAAAAAAAAAGGAAGGGAAGACCAGGAAGGTCTAGAACAAGGTATAGCTTCCATATTGCAATCAGATTTGCTGACCTAAAAATTAGAACACAAGGTCTAACAAACTACATAATTTTCTAATCCGTTCATTTTTACAAAAAAAAAAAAAAAAACAAAAAAAAAAACAATTTTTTTAACACTAGCTCCACATTGAATCATTTACCTAATTTTCTTTGGTCACAATATCCCCGAGTATCTTGCATATCGGGTTGCCATATCCATCAACCCCAAATGGCAAGCCAGAGAGAGAAGGCTGGGGAGGAGGCATCAGTGGAAACTCTAAGCAGCCAGGGGCACTGGAAACTGCAGACAGCATGGGAAAGAAGGAAGGAAGGAAGGAAGAAGAGGGAAGCCGACCTGAGTCTGCTTCTAGCCTGAGTCTGCTTCTCAGTCTAGTCTGCAGTCTAGCCTAGTGACATAGAGGACTTCTGGGTAATGGGCACCCCTGAAAGAGTCTACCGACGGGCAGAAAACACACCACCTTCCTGGTTGTCATCCCATAATCCATTGCCTGTCTCCTATGTTGAGCTTTACCCTTCGGCTGAATTTCCAGGCAGACCCAAGAAATTAAGACAAAATGGCACATAGAGAAAAATACATACAATTTATTCATTAAATGGGGAAAAATTTCCATAACTATGGAAAGTCAGGTTACATCATCACAGCTGTTTGTTTAAAACTAGAAGTATGTGTTGGCAATCGTTTTGATGAGAGTTAAGAAAATTAGGCCGGTTTCACAATATGGAGTGTCCTTTCTGGTCAACAGTATTGCTTCAGGAGAGATAGCATTTCACAGATCTTTCCTGTAACTTCTAGAAAAGTCATCCAGCCAGATTTAGGTTCAAACTTCTTTACAAAGCCATTTTCCTATGAGAGAATAAATTTAACATTTTAAAAATCATTGTAGATTAAGTATGCTGTAATAAAAAGCAAAAATATTTTCATTTAAATAGTGCAAATAGTTAATCTTCTATTTCTTCTACCCCTCTTAAGCAGCATCATCTAACAGAAATACAGTGTGACCTACATTTGTAATTTTAATTTTTTTGTAGCCATATTTTAAAAAGTAAAAAAATAGGTAAAACTAACTTTTAAGATACATTTAGTGTTATTTTAATATGTAATCAGTATAAAATCATTAATGAGATATTCTTTTCTCATAACAAATCTTCAAAATCCAATGAGTATTTAGTACTTACGGCATATCTTAGTTCTGACTAGCCACATTTCACTACCATAGTGGACAGCAAGCACAGCTCTAGAGGATAGAAAGCCTATTTTTTTTTCTTGTTCTTGTTCAATTGTCCAACATTCATTTCAATGCACTTATATTTGTAATATGAATTCTATTATACTGTAAACTGCATTGTATTGAAAATCATGAGAACTCACAGTAAATCCAAATTAAACCAATACCTTAGAAGCTATGAAAAGGTTGATGGTTTCTTTCATAATCTACTCTCTTTGTGATCATAGTTTTAAAAATATACAGTAACCCAACTAACTGGACATTTTATTTAGTTAATTTACAGTCCGTAATCAAAGAATGCTCACTGAAAATTACCTCTGAGATAATCTAGCCTGAAGCCCTCCCTTATTTTAACAAATGAGAAAATCGAGGCCCAGAAAAAAAATAGGTTATCTAAGATTAGCCAACACCTTGGTGCCTGAACCTGGATTAGAATGCAAACACTCTACTTCTTTCCACTCCATACATTTTCAAACAAGTGCCAAAAGAATTAGAAAATTGGTAAAATAATGTTTCCAAATGATCATCTGGCAAACATTCACATCTCCATCTTACAGGTTTCAGAACCTGGGGTTACAAATACCTGCAAGTAGCTCAGAGCCTAGCGTAACTAATATTGAAACAGAAACCAAGCATAACTCTTTGATAGTTGGGAGAGATTCGAGAGCTCTGTGGTGCCTTGGAATCATTTTATGAGCATCATTGGCAGAGCGGATGAATATCACCAGCCAGGGGGATTTCCCATTTGAAAGATTTCCTAAGAAAGCCATTTTCTGCCTACGTGTTAAGCGTGCATCGTGCTGTGACACATGCTGTCATACCTTGATAGAGGAAGGAAACTGTCCCTCTCTCTTCCTCTTTCCCTCCTGCCAGTACATACTCATAGTTTCCCATACACTCTCAAGAGGTATCCACTTCATTACTCTCCTTCCTAGAATTTTCATAAACCCCATGTTTCGCAAGTATAATGAGGCCCTCTGAAATGATTTTTTTTTTTTTTTTGAGATGGAGTCTGGCTCTGTTGCCCGGCCTGGAGTGCAGTGGTGCGATCTCGGCATACCTCAGTCTCCGCCTCCTGGGTTCAAGCAATTCTCCTGCCTCAGCCTCCTGAATAGCTGGGACTACAGACGCATGCCCCCATGCCTGGTTAATTTTTGTATTTTTAGTAGAGATGGGGTTTCACTATGTTGACCAGGCTGGTCTCAAACTCCTGACCTCATGATCCAGTCACCTCACAAAGTGCTGGATTACAGGTGTGAGCCACTGTGCACAGCATGATTTTTATTATTATGACAATGATCATTGTCTATTATCATTGAGCAGTCATAACATATCATCTTATATACATCAATGTCTAAAGAAGGACAGTGAACAAAGAAAAAACTAATGAATTCAACCAGATGAAGATTAAAATTTATTTATTATTATTATTTTTTGAGTCAAAGTCTTGTTCTGCCACCCAGGCTGGAGTGCAGTGGCGCGATCTCGGCTCGTTGCAACCTCTGCCTCCTGGGTTCAAGCGATTCTTCTGCCTTAGCCTCCCAAGTAGCTGGGACTACAGGCACATGCCACCACGCCCAGCTAATTTTTGTATTTTTAGTAGAAACCAGGTTTCACCATGTTGGCCAGGATGGTCTTGATCTCTTGACCTCGTGATCCACCCACCTCAGCCCCTAAAGTGCTGGGATTATAGGCGTGAGTCACTGTGCCCGGCCTAAAATTTTTTTTAACTATGAAAAATTAAAATTAAAAGAACAATAGACTAGGAAAATATTTACATATAGCATGAAAGAGTTCATTCAAATGTAACGGAAAATCCTCAGGCCCTTAATAGTCTAAAAGGGAAAGACCATTAAAGAGAGAAATATAAATCATTAACAAGTGTATGGTAAAAACACTAATAGCAGTTAAAGAAATGTACTTTCAACACAGTCTTATTGTTTTTTAGACCTATTAAATTCGCTTTGTTACTTTATGCCTATCAAACCCTCAAAATTATTAATAGTACCACCCACGTTGTTAAGTTTGTTGTGACATTGTTCCATTGACATGCTTTTGGAAAGAAAATATGTTTTCCAATATGCTAGAGTATTGTAATTATATACATATCTTACGAACCAGTCGTTCCATTGTTAGAAATTTATCATGAGGCAGTCTTCTAAAATATTGGAGGGTAGGGGGTACCAGAAAAGCATACCCATGCTTCAGTACTGAAGCATTATATCTAAAAGGGGAAAACTCAAAAAAAAAAACTGTCTAACAATTGGAAATTGGTTAAGTACATTATGATATGACAAATTAACAGAATATTCTGTAGATATTAGAAATTAATACCTAATGTTAACATGGAATATGTGAGACAGTGTTGAAAATATTTATAATATGTCACACGAAAAAACTCTTGTATGCCCTAATTACAGTTGCATACAGTGTCTGCATGTGGATATGTTACGGTGATGGGAGTGACTTTTCTTCCTTTCAAAAATGTTATTTTCAGACATATTTTCTTTAATGATGCTATTTGTATCTTAAAACCATTATGCAAAGATAAATATACAAATAAGGATTCAGTATCTTATCAGTAATGTAGTAGTAATTAAGAATTGTTTCAGCCTTAGTATTTCTGGAAATGGTGATAGTTTGTTAAATTCAGCTACTTTGGTTACAAGACAACCAAAGCATAAAATAATATGCTGTATCAATAGTCCAAAGAAAATCAGAACTTCAGAATTTTTAGAGATAGAGGCAGCCAGGTGCAGTGGCTCAAGCCTGTAATCCTAGCACTTTGGGAGGCTGAGATGCGAGGATGGCTTGAGCCCTGGAGGTTGAGGCTGTAGTGAGCCAAGATCGCGCCACTGCACTCCAGCCTGGGTGACAGAGCAAGACCCTGTTGCAAAAAAAAAAAAAAAAAAAAGATACAGACAAATACCATTATGTTGTTCCCACTTCTCTAAATATTATTTATTCATTTATTCATTCAGGAAATATTCACTGAGCATTGGCCACATGCCAGTAGCAGTTAAAGTGCTGGAAACACAGTGGTGAAGAAAGCATACAGGATCCCTGTCCTCACTAAGCTTATATTCTCATGGCAGACACAGACAATAAACAGAGAAGCAAACAAATATGCAATGGGATATCCAGTCATGAAAACTATTATGAAGGCAATCAAGTTGGGCAGGGAGACAGAGAGTGGCAGTAGTACTTTCTCAGTTGGGGTGATCAAGGAAGACTTCTCTGAGGAGGCAACCTTGGAACAGAGGCCTGAGCAAAGGGAAGAAGTAAGGATAACAAAGAAAAGAGAAACCTCTTGGCCTAATGGTATGACCCAAGCTTTAAAATGGTGGTTACGGGGAAAGCACCAACTCTGACTGTACATCCTACTTTCAGAAAGGCAAAGAATAACCTATCTAAACTTCCTGGAATTTCCCACGTAACCCTCATAGTTGCATAGTATTTGACAGCTTGGAAAGCACTGTTTTACAAAAAGTGTTTTATAATTGTTTAGCTTTCCTTTAAAGGTAGGTAAGATTGTTTTCATTAAATATTATATATAATAAATTATCATATGTCATATCATATTATGATATACATTATATAAGGAATCTGAGTCTCAGAGTACCTCAGTAACTTACCCAAGGTTATACCTCTAGTGAGGGAGAAAACCAGAGTTCAAATCTCCAGTTTCAGTGTTGCTTCACTGAATCATTCCATCAGCAAATATTTGTTGTTACCTTCTATGCAATAGGCCCTATTCTAGGCATGAGGTACACAGTGATGCATTAAGTAGACATGATTTCTCCCACGTGGAGCTCAGTGCCAAGCATTCTTTCTACTCCCCCGGCATACGCAGAGGAGAATGCTTCATTGAAGGCAGAGGAAGTAAGAAGAGCCACCTGGTTCAAAAGGAAGGGTGATCCCAAGGGAAGAGACATGCGTTTCATCTCAGGATCATTCTAATGGTTTTTAAGAACCATCCTTTCCTCATGAATGCTGAAGGCAGCCAAATGGCACTAGCTCTCCTCTCAGATCTTGTGAGAGCACATCCTTTCTCAGCACTTCAAATTAGGAGAGGGGACAGGAGGAAATCATGGTAAATGTGGAAGAGGAGAAAAAGAGAGATGAGAAGCCACAAAAAAAGAAGGCAGGCAGGCAGGCAGGCAGGAAGGCAGGAAAGACAACTGATAAAAAGGAGAAAGAATAACGAAAGAGATTATGAGTCCTATTACTGATAGACCAGTCTTGTTTCTTCCCATTAGAGGATCTGTTTTACATGGTAAACAACAACCGTAAACTTGTATTGAGTACTCATTTGCAGGAACTGTTTCAAGTGCTTTGCATATATTAACTAATTTGATCCTTATACCAGTCTCAGGACATAGGTTGCAATATTTTCCTGTTTTTACAGATGAGGAAACAAGACAGGGAAGTTAAGCAACTTGTACAATTCACACAGGTAGTAAGCACTCGAGCCCAGAAATGAAGCCAGGTCTGTCTGAACATCTATGCTGTGCTCACATACTGCTTTTTTTTTTTTTTTTTTTTTTTTGAGATGGAGTCACTCTGTTGCCCAGGCTGGAGTGGCACAATCCCGGCTCACTGCAACCTTCGCCTCCCAGGTTCAAGTGATTCTCCTGCCTCAGCCTCCCAAGTAGCTGGGATTATAGATGCCCGCCACCACACCCTGCTAATTTTGTATTTTTAGTAGAGACAGGCCTTTACCATCTTAACCAGGCTGCTCTTGAACTCCTGACCTCAGGTGATCCACCCACCTCAGCCTCCCAAAAGTGCTGGGATTACAGGCATGAGCCACCGCACCTGGCACATACCACATTCTTGATTAAAAGTTTTCATAAAGTCTCTGGGCAATTTTAAAATTAAATTACAGATTGTATGTTTTATGATGACTTCTTGAGTTTTTTCAGGTGGGTAGAAGTGAGAGGCTGGTGCTCACATCTTGATAAAGTTGTAAGTGCCTCCTCTACCCTTACTTCTTCTAGTGGGCCACTGACTCTACTAGCATAGGCATGTGATTGTGCCATTTCCCCTGAAATGAATCATTCAAGAGTAAATTCATTCATTTGAGCAGATTTGTCAACATCACTATGAAAAGAAGATAACAGTTTTCCATGCCAGTTTGCACTGAATCAAAAAAGCACTGCCTATCATTGACAGAACCAATGTCTCATCTGAGGTGGGAAAGCAGCACGGAGATTGCTTTGAAATGACATCTTCAAGAGTATTTCATGTCTACAACCTGAACTATTCAGGTGCTTTTTTTAAAAAAAAAAAAAAAGAGAGAGCTTGGAAACTTTAGAAAGGCTGAGTGTGTGCATGTGCAGGCAATGTGTGTATTTGTATCTACACTTGGGAGAGGTTCATCCGGCCACACTTATGTTTACATCTGTACCACCCTCGAAAGATGAGGGCACTACTAGAAATTCTCAGAGACAATTCCACACCTCTTGCTAACAGTGAGTTCCGGGAGCTCACAAAATTTATTGTGGAGAAGTTAAATTTTTAAGTAACATTTATTCACTGTCTGTGTGTTCCAAGTACTATGTTAAGCATTAGAAATACAATCCAAACCCACATAGAGCCTGCAAACCAGTAGAGTATTTCTCTGCAGGCTTACCTGTGGTCCTCTGTGCTAGAGAATGTTTGCCTTCCCCTGAAATCTACAGAGTGCTGCTGAAATTTCCACCAGTCCTCAAGTATAGCCTCCTCCCACAGCCAGAAGAAAACATGATAAAACATTTCACATGCTTCGCCCAGCCTCAGTCAGGCTGAGTTAGAAAGAACTAAGTTCCAGAAAGAAGGTGACTGAGAAAGGGGAGTAGCTGCAGTAAGCTCTATCATGCAGGAAGGCCTTAAACAAAATGAAAAAGGCATCAAGTAAAAGATCAATAAATTTGATCGCAACAAACTTTTAAACGTTTATAATGACCAAAGACGTTGTTAGCTTTAAAGGATAATCAGCAAACTAAAATATATCTGCCACATATATAAAAATAATTTGGCTGGGTGCGTGGCTCACACCTGTAATCCCACAACTTCGGGAGGCCAAAGTGGGAGGATCACCTGAGGTCAGGAGTTCGAGACCAGCCTGACCAACATAGTGAAACCCCATCTCTACTAAAAATACAAAATTAGCTGGGTGTGGTGGCGCACACCTGTAATCCCAGCTACTTGGGAGGCTGAGGCAGGAGAATTGCTTGAAACCAGAAGGCAGAGGTTGCAGTGAGCTGAGATCACACCATTACACTCCAGCCTGGGCAACAAGAACGAAAACTCTGTCTCAAAAAATTTAAATAATAATAATAATAATAATTTGTATCCAGAATATTCAAAGAATTCCTACAAATCAATAAGAAAAAGACAAAATAAAAGGAAAATGGGCAAAGGGTGTAAACCGACAATTGCCTGCATTTACAAATAATCAATTAATATATGAAAAGATGCTCAAAATGTAAAAAAAATTTAGCCTTACTAGTAATCAAGAAAATGAGAATTGAAACAAGATAAACTCTATATTTTTAGCCCAAAAAATTAAGGAAATTATGACGAATTGCAACAACCTAATGTTAGTCAGCTGGGGTAGGGGGACTGCGGGATATTCTAACAAGCTGCTGATGGGAGTGGAACTTGGTGGAGCCACTTTGGAAGGCAAGGACCTAGTAAATTAAAAAATGTATGCCACCATGACCCAGCATCTACAACCCAACATCCACCCTGGAAAACTACACACACACACAAGGGAAGATATATGTAAAATGATATTCAATGAAGCATTGTGTGTGATAGCAAACTCGAAATAACCTAAAGAGCTATCAGCTACAAATGGCCACTCTACAGCATTTACATACAACAGAATATACACAGCATTCTTAATACTATTTTAAATAACTCTGGATAAAATAATAAGTGGCAGAATTAGTACCATGTACTATTTTTACATATACACATGTAAAAATATGTACACAAAATTTATTGTATATATAAAAAATTATGTGTATATGTAAAAAAGTATGTGTTATATGGTATAACAGATACGTTATGTAAAACATATACATAAGCATACATACACATTTTACATAACTTTTTTTACAAAAAATTTTTTACAAAGAAGTATTGTTTATTTTCTATGGATATATACAGTAGGCATGTTTTGCATGCAAAATAATTGATAACAGTGGTTACCTCTTGGGAGAGGTGAAGGCCAGGAATTAGGCGTTGGAGAGAGGATTCATGAACACTTACGTGCTTTAAAAAAATAATCATTAAGTATATTGGAATATAAAGGAAAGCATATACATCCAGCTGTGTCAGGCTTTTTACCAACATGAGTTTCAACACAGGCCCCTACACAGTCTTGGCTTTTTGAGGCACTGGATAATAAAGTGAATTTTTAGTTGAAAATTCTTGAATAAAGTTTCTTGCTGGTGATACTGTACATTATGTTTTAATCAACAAACTTTACCAGCCCAGAATTTATTGTTAGTAATAATTTGTTATACATTATATATAATTTGCTATACATTAGTATATGTTACAATTTGCTATGTATTAGTAAACTGAAAAACACCAATTTGTAAGCAATGAACTTACAAAAATTTACACCTGTCTTTTGCAACCTTATAAATGCCTAAAAATAACAGCATCTAATAGCAACTCTTTCTGTACTGATTGTGGAAATTTCTGTACTGTCTGTACTGTCATGACAACCCTAGCAAAAGCTAAGTACTAGATTAGAGTGTGTACACAGCTGACTGTGAAGCTGAATGAGAGAGGTGCTTTGTTAGTCCCCAAACTTCACTACTGTAATTTATACTGTTAGGAATAAAAGCTGGAAACACAAGTACTTTCCAACTATAAAGTTCAAGTTCAAGGATTCATCGGAAATAAGCCAGAAAGTATATTATTTTAAAAATTAAAACAAACCACCCAAGGAAACTAGTATTCTTAGGTAAGTGTTTTGTTGTTGTTTTAATTAGCAAGGAAATTCTCAATTTCTATTTCACAGTAAAGAACAATGAAGAATTTTTCCATCACACATACCCAGCCTCCGTTTTGCCTTATCCATTCTCCTGTGTTATTCATTATGAACTCAGCAACAAAATACGAAATCTCCTTATAAGTATCCACATCCGGGGCAATTCGCTGTCGTAGAAGTTTCTTGATGAGAATACCTTCAAATGCAAATATGGTTACAATTCTTCCCCAGTTAATGATGCCATCTTCAAACTCCTTTTCCATCACTTGATTGAATAGTGTTCTGGCAGTGTCTATGGATGCAACATTAACATTGTCCAAGCATGGCTTCAGATTCTTTTCCACTTCTTTTTGGACTGAGAATGCAACCTTTTGTAGCACTCTGGACGTTTTGCTTGGACCCGATCCAGGTTGTGGTATCTGCAGAACGTACTGCAAATAGTCCTGAGCTAGCCTGTAAATATATCCAAATTCACAGTCTGTCATCTTCTGCCTGGTGGAGAGCAAAGTCTTGAGCTGGCTCACCTTGAAGCTGTTGAGGCAATGTGACGAGAATGCTCCCTGAGCTTGGCTGAGTTATGACACATGATGATACGTGGAGGTTGGTGGAATTTCTGTTTGCATCACTTTATAATGGCCTTCCTCCTAGTCACTTTCGTGCGTAGGCTGTGTTTCATGTCGTGTATGAAAGAGAAAGTTTAAAATGTGAAAGAGGAAAATGTTTCAGAGAGGCCACTTCCTCATCCTGTGATTAATTCAGCTTTACAAGTCTTAAATGCAGGATGTGGAGAAATTAGAATCCTTGTAGATTGCTGGTGGGAATGCGAAAGGGCGCAACCCCTGTGAAAAGGCTGGCAGTTTCTCAAAAAGTTAAATACAGAATTATCACAAGACCCAGCAGTTCCATTCATAGGTACACAACCAACAGATCCTCAAATACTTACATACGAATGTACATGGCAGCACTATTCACAATAGCCAAGAGCTGGGCACAACTCAAATATTCATCAAGAGATGAATGGATAAATAAATTATGGAACATTATTCATTCAAAAAAAGGAATGAAGAACTGATACATACATGCTTCACCAGGAATGAACCTCAAAAACATTAGGCTAATAGAAAGAAGCCAAACAGAAAAGGTCATACATTATGTGATTCTATTTCTATGAAATATCCAGAATAGTTAAATCCATAGGAATAGAAAGCAAATTGATGGTTGCCAGGGACTGAGGAGAGGGAGGAGTAACTGCTTAATGGGTAGAAGGTTTTCTTTTGTGTGATGAAAATGTTTTGCAAGGCCGGGCCGTTGGCTCACGCCTGTAATCCTAGCACTTTGGGAGGACAGGGCAGGTGGATTGCCTGAGCTCAGGAGTTTGAGACCAGCCTGGGCAACATGGTGAATACCCGTCTCTATCAAAATACAAAAATGTAGCCGGCGGGCAGCATGTGCCTGTAGTCCCAACTACTCGGGAGGCTGAGGAAGGAGAATTGCTTGAACCCGGGAGACAAAGGTTGCAGTGAGCCAAGATCACGCCACGGCACTCCAGTCTGGGCAACAAAGCGAGACTCTGTCTCCAAAAAAAAAGAAAAGAAAATGTTTTGCAACTAGATAGAGGTGGAAGTTGCACAACACTGCGAAGGTACTAAATGCCACTGAATTGTTTACTTTAAAACGGTTTTGTGAATTTCAAATTTAAGAAAAGTCTTAAATGCCATCCACGAGGTAAACCGGAGTAAAGACAATTTGGAATGGAGACTACAGAACAGTCTGGGTGGCAGAGAACAGGGCCTCTCGAGGTGACTCTGGCAGTACTGCCCTTGATCATCTGTAATTGAGTAAGGATGATACAGAGAGGGAAGAAGAAAATGCCCTCTTTTCAGGAGATCGAGACCATCCTGGCTAACCCAGTGAAACCCCGTCTCTACTAAAAAATACAAAAAACCTAGCCAGCTGTGGTGGCGGGCGCCTGTAGTCCCAGGTACTTGGGAGGCTAAGGCAGGAGAAGGGCGTAAACCCCGGAGGCGGAGCTTGCAGTGAGCTGAGATCCGGCCACTGCACTCCAGCCTGGGCGACAGAGCGAGACTCCGTCTCAGAAAAAAAAAAAGAAAAGAAAATACCCTCTTTGGGCCAGCCACCGTGGCTCACGCCTGTAATCCCAGCACTGGGAGGCCGAGGCAGGCGAATCATGAGGTCAGGAAATCGAGACCATCCTGACTAACACGGTGAAACCCCGTCTCTACTAAAAATACAAAAAATTAGATGGGCATGGTGGCAGGCGCCTGTACTCCCCACTTGGGAGGCTGAGGCAGGAGAATCGTTTGAACCCAGGAGGCAGAGCTTGCAGTGAGCCGAAATTGCACCACTGCACTCCAGCCTGGGCGACAGAGCGAGACTCCATCTCCAAAAAAAAAAAAAAAAAAAAAGAAAAAGAAAATATCTTCTTTGGTCTTCACCTTCCGCCTGCTCTAGGATTTCTGATAGAAAACAAAATTCTGCTTTAAGCCTGACTTAATTCACATTTTTAACTCAGGTAAACTATCCAATGTGTGGATTAGAAATTTCGGGACCAGAAAGAGCACTGGACTTACAGTCAGAGGGCCTGGACTCAGTCCCAGTCAAATCTCTCTTTCCTAAGTGTGTACCCTGGGTCTGTGCTTAATTTGTAAAATGAGGCAATACATGTTGACCTCAGAGGGCTGAGGTGAAGTTCAAAGGGATGACCTGTGTAAAGCCTCTATCACCATGCCTGGTAAAACGTAGGTGCGTAATCAAAGCTAGTTCCCCATTGTTCTTTTGTGGACTAATGAGGAATTTGGCCTCCCAGTCATCTCTTTACCTAGCAAGGGTATAACTTCGTAAGTGAAATGCAAATCTCATTTTATTTAGCTATGACAGCAAATCTGAGAAAAGGTTTGCAGTGGGTGGATGAAAAAGGAGACAATTCACAGTCGCTGGAGAAATTGAATTCACTTTTTTTTTCCATCCACATATGGAGTGACTTTGAGTCTTTTATCCTGTCTGTGACCAGCTGCAAATAGGAAAAATGATTCATATAAAACTTGCGTTTCTGAACTATCACCATAGGATTAAGGAGGAAAGGAGAGGTGTTGCTTAGAATGCTCGTTAATAGAGTGGCAGCCATGAAAATGCACCTTTCAGACCTACTGCAGTGGTTTAATTGACTAAGGGCCCCAGCCTCAGTGCTTTGAATCTACCACAGCTTTGCACTGAGGCCACATATCCTATAGGCTGTTCCCAGACAATGACTGAGCAAAGCAGGAACCTTAAGACCGGTTTCTGCAAGTCAACTTCCTTTGATAGGTAACTTTGGTTCAATGACTCCCCATGGGCTTTGCTGAAACTTCCTTTGACTGCACTGTCATGGAAGACTTCCCTACCCCATCTTCCTCCTTCTCTCCTTCGCAGAGGTCAGTCCTGAATTGTAGTCTGTCTGACGGCTCTGTAGTCTCTTCTGCTTCCCTCCCTTTTTTCCCTCACAGGTATTTACCACAATCATTTACCAATTAAATCTGTTAGACATTTAATCCCCTCATGACATTTTCTTGGAGTACCCAGACTGATACAGGACCTGTAGAGCACAAAGGAGCATACAGATATGTGGTCAAGCTACTTCTCCAGGAATTCCGCTGGGAAAGTTCTCCCATGCCTCCTAGACTGTGCCCGTTGGCCCACAGGAGCACAAAGCCAAGAGCAGGCTGCTTTCCCTCCTTAAATCATCTTTGAGCATCATAAGAACCAGGGAAAGGATGGGAAGATTGAGTTTTCTCTCCCCCTTTACATTCCCTTGGTGCTGAACATTTCTTCAAATATAACAGCAGCAGCCGGACGTGCTGGCTCGTGCCTTTGGGAGGCCAAGGCGGGTGGATAATTTGAGGTCTGGAGTTCAAGACCATCCTGGCCAACATGGCAAAAGCCCGTCTTTACTAAAAATACAAAAATTAGTCTGGCAGTAGAGGTACATGCCTGTAATCCCAGCTACTTGGGAGGCTGAGACAGGAGAATCTCTTGAACCCAGGAAGTGGAGGTTGCGATGAGCCGAGATTGTGCCACTGCATTCCAGTCTGGGCAACAGAGTGAGATCCTGTCCCCTCAAAATAATAATAATAATAGAAGCATGTGGTTTTAAAATTGCAATCAAGCATCTTTGGCTGTGTGTAGTGGCTTATGCCTGTAATCCCAGCACTTTGGGAGGCCAAGGCAAGCGGACCACTTGAGGTCCGAAGTTTGAGACCAGTCTGGCCAACATGGTGAAACTCCATCTCTACTTATATATAAAAAAAAAAAAAGTACAAGGCCAGGCAAAGTGGCTCATGCCTGTAATCCCAGCACTTTGGGAGGCCAAGGCGGGTGGATCACGAGGTCAAGAAATCGAGACCATTCTGGCCAACATGGTGAAACCCTGTCTCTACTAAAAATACAAAAATTAGCTGGGCGTAGTGGCACACCCCTGCAGTCCCAGCTCCTTGGGAGGCTAAGGCAGGACAATCATTTGAACTCGGGAGGTGGAGGCTGCAGTGAACTGAGATTGCGCCACTATAGTCCATCCTGGGCAACAGAGCGAGACTCCATCTCAAATAAAAAGAAAAAATTTAAAAAAATAATAATTAGCTAGGCATTTCATTTATTCAACAAAGATCAACTACCTTCCTTCACTGGGTCCTGGCTTGGGCAATGGGTGGAGACAGAAAAAAGATAGACCCTTGTTTTTGTTTTTTTGAGATAGAGTTTTGCTCTTGTTGCCCAGGCTGGAGTACAATGGCACAATTTAGGCTCATGGCAATCTCTGTCTCCCAGGTTCAAGTGATCTGCCCGCCTCAGCCTCCCAAAGTGCTGGGATTACAGGCAAGAGCCACCACGCCCAGCCTAGGGCTTTATATTTCTAATCTTCTGTATACAAAAAGGAGTTGCTTTAAAAATTCTTACATATTGTGGGCCAGGCGCAGTGGCTTACACCTGGCAATCCCAGCACTTTGGGAAGCCGAGGCAGGCGAATCACCTGAGGTGAGGAGTTTGAGACCAGCCTGACCAACATGGTGAAACCCCGTCTCTACTAAAACTACAAAAGTTAGCCGGGCATGGTGGTGGGTTACTGTAATCCCAGCTACTCAGGAGGCTGAGGAGGAAGAATCGCTTGAACCCAAAGGTGGAGGTTGCAGTAAGCCAAGATTATACCACTACATTCCAGCCTGTGCGACAAGAGTGAAACCCCATTTCAAAAAAATAAATAAATAAAAATAAAAAAGTCTTACATATCATGGCCTGCTTTAATTTCTTTTGGGGAGTTTCCAAATTATCACTTTTCAAGGATAGGTGGGAGAGAGAAAGACAAAGTTCTTTCCAAAAAAAGGAAAATTCTTTCTTTCTTTTATATGAAATGCAAAAGGACTGGTGTGGGGTGGAATGGAGGGAAGTGTGGGTCAGAGGCAAGTAGCTGACCATGGGCCAAGTGTGAAGACATGGGGGCTATATTTCCGCAGTGCCACTGCACTCTGAGTCTGCATTCACCAGGGTCTAGTGTACAGGTTCATAAAGACCAGCTCATGGTTCCCCATCCTCTGAGCTGCTCTGTCAATGCATGGAATTTTGTATGAAATTAGGGGTCCACCCC